CAAGGCAGGCCAGGCGCTCACATCTAGTGACCACGGCAGGGGCTGGAGGAAAGCCGGCCAAAGAGATGCAAACAGCAAGACGACGAGCAAGGCAGCTTGCAAACCAAAGAGAAGCCGATCTTGGTTCCATGCATTGGTGTGCCCACGGCATTTCTGCATGCGAAAGCATGAGCAGCTTCCATTTCGTCATCTGCCGGCAGCACCCAGCAAATGAACGGTGGCCACGTGGGGTTAGAGTCTTAAACCCGCAGCGCCCTTGCAGCAATCTTTTTTGCACCAACGTCTACCAGCCTCACAAACCGCAGTAGCAGTGTGAACTAAGCCTCGCCTTTGTAGACGTCAGTAGCTGCAATAAACGAGATGTGATTAAGTTTCTTCAAGGCTGTTTGCAAAAGGTTTCTAAGAGTGCGCAAGATTGCAAGACGCACTTTGCTTTGTCAAGGCCACCTTCAGAATCCACATCTTCGGGTATGGCAATCAAACATCCTCGCTGCCGAATCAAAGCCAAAAAACCAGTTGATTAGCTTGGCACGACTGAGGCCATCTGAATGACGGCACAGCTGCATCTGGTCAACAAGTGGTCCCGAGCAAACGGCAAAAAGCAAAACGAATTGAGCGGACTTACCAGTGTTTGTTATCGCGTAAGAGTTCACTTTATCGCCGGCTATAGCGGCCGTCGACAAGGCGGGTCATGAAACTCCGAAATATGTTGTCCTCAAGCAGAAACTCAGTTTAGATGAAAGCAGTGGCTTGGTTAGCTTAGCTCCATGACAAAGCCATCCAAATAGAAAGCAACCGAACAGTTCTGAGAAGCCTCCTGGGCATCGATGCCAAAAATGGCTTAAATGGATTGCAAAGAACCTACAGATAACAGCTTGTCCAGCAGCCGCAGCTTCTCTTCCGTGACGCCCAAACCCTTGACATCCAAAAAGTACCGGCCATCGACTCCGCCTGGTCCATGTTTCGTCCATCTATCACTGCTTGTAGCGTGCTTTCTGCCGTCCCTCTTGCTGGAAGGCACTTCGTGGCTACGCTGGAATGCCCTTCTGTTTGTACTGCCAAGCTGGTGCGCCCTCCGTGAGGATCTGGGCCGGGACCCATGTGTCCCAAGTATACTCGACGTTCTCCTTCGAGGATATCTGGTTGCGTAATCCGTTCCCCCGAACAATCACCAACAAATACTGGTAGCCCTCAATCCCAGATTCGGGACACTTCGCGTCCTCTCCCAGGCATGCGAAGAGCAGCAGCAGCGCGGGACAAGAAGTTCCCAGCTACTCACCCCCTCGTGAGGCCTTTAGCATCGACGGATCTGTTTAGCGAGACTTGGCGCTAAGCTAACACTCCGCGCCTGAGCCAAGCCTGCTCACAAAGCGAGCATGTGCAGAAATTCAATCCTTTGAACATGAGCCGGGGCTTATGATTTGCTGAGGCTCAGATGGACAGTCTGGGATTACAATTTGCTCATTTGAGTCCCCGCATCGCTGTTTATGCAGGACATGACGAAAGGCTTCTATACTTGGGCGTGGGCTACACTGCGGTCTAGTCCGGGCCAGGGCTTAGGGTTTAGGGTTTAGAGCTTTTGGGTTTGGGATTTTAGGGTTTAGGGTTTAGAGCTTTTGGGTTTGGGGTTTGCGGTTTGGGATTTAGGGTTCTCTTACGATAGTATTACAGACCTTAATATGGAAATCATGAAGACCCTACAAACCGCGGGTGGAGTCTTTACTTACGAGGCAGCGCCGTTATTGTTGGACCTTCTTGGGAAGTAGTATGTTCCTTGCCCAAACGGCTTGACCCATACCTTCTTTTGCACCACATATGTATATCTAGATATATGCAACTCTTATTTTCGAATTTTGCAAAGAACAATGCCGCGACCTTTCTACCTCATGATTGTGAGGAGGCCTACGATGAGGTTCACGAGGATTTCTGGCAGCAAGTTTCGATCAGAGGATGGCAACATGCACTCGGATCGCAGCATTGACCCGGCTAATGCTCCCTTGGCGAAGTTGGAACAACAGGATTCTGCAAGGGCGTGGCATTCCAAAGACGCCTGGCCTCGAAGCTCCAAAGACTGGGTTTCGAATGAATTGGAGCCCTGTTGCGCCTAACCGTCGGGCAGTTTGCTTTGGCCTTCCAATCCGAAGAAGGCTCTCCTACAAGTTTCACCTGAGCCCAAATAAGGTGACTCCGAGCCCCATCCTGCCATTTTGGGCTACGCTTAACGCTTCAAAGAACGGAGGAGGTTGCTGGTCCGAAGCGTTTCGGGTGCGACACTGTCGGTGTGATCATCGGGCTTTAAGCGGGTCTTCGGCAGCTTAGCAGTTGTCTTAGGGGCTGAGTACCCTAGCCCAAAAAAGGTTAACCTTTTGAATAATAGCAGGGTTATATAAGCCCCAAAAGGTTAAAGGTTACCTACTCAGCCCCTGAGTTGTAGACTTGTAGTTGAGACTCGGAGTCTAATTCCAGGCAGGACAAGAACCACCGTACTGATTTTTCTGATGCAAAGAACCAGCGAATTGAGACGGAATGCTAGCAAAGTCGTGGAACTGGGGCGTCGACGTACCTTCCCTGAAAACATGCCAAACCCTAAACCCTAAAACCTAAACCCCTAAACCCTAAACCCTAAACCCTAAACTCGTGATGGACATGATCAAGTTTCAGAGGCCCATGGGAACCATTCACAGAATTCAGGGCCCAGGCCGCCGGTGTTTAGATAAGAGTAGATGTGGGTAGTTCTCTAAGTTAGGGTTTAGGGTTTAGGGTTTAGGGTTTAGGGGTCACTTCTTAGGTCCCCAATATAGTACGGCACCCTTGTAAAAAGGACCCCAAAAAGGGACCCTAATATTGAAAACTACCCATATATACCTTGACGTCAATGCAACCCTGGTTCGGGACGGGCCGCATGAACATGTCCGGACAGTCGATCGGAAAGTGCCCACTATTAGGGTTTAGGGTTTAGGGTTTGACTACACTGCGACCGAAAAAATCAAAGCAACGCAAACCAGCCACAACTAGACTGTTGATCGAGGAGGTTCATCAAGCAACTGCTGACAAAATGCCCCTAAGAATAGAACCACAAATTGCAAACCCTGATTCCTGGAAGGGAGGTGATTTACATACGTGACCCCTCTACTTCAGAGTGACGGACCTAACTCAAGCACAAGCTCTCGTAGATGCAAGATGGATTCCTGGTTTAGAGCCTAAGTACTAGCAATGCAGAGAAGGTGCCAGCGACGTCACTTGCAGCACTGCATATGCATTGGCAAGCAGATCGTAGTGGTGAACTCACGACCAACCCACAAGTCGCAATAACAGCTGTAGGGTGATGCAATGCTACTACAATTCACACAATAACATCAGCACTAAAACACATAGCCCTAAAACCTAAGCCCTTAACCGATAGAACTACGAACTGAAGACAAGCTCGTTGGACCAGCGACAGAAGACTTACCGCAGGCTAGCAATGAAACAGCAGTCGCAGTGATTTGCTGCGCCCGACACTTCATTACCCATCGGCCCCTTAGTAGTTCCTCTTTGTGGCTCATATTTAGGATCCTATTAGGTAATCCCAAGGAGGAACTACCATGGGGCCTATGTGTACACATAACTATGAGTAGCATCAAGCGCAGCCAAGAGTCCAGAAGATGCAATGCCGAAGTGCGCCAGAAAGGTTCTTCAGGGTGGGCTTTTCTCAAACATTGGCAGCGCGATCGGGTGAACTTGGAGGGGGGGAGGCGGTATGTATGCATGTATGTATGCAAGTACGTACAACATGTGATTTTGTGTATGTGCTTGTGGTCTGGGGGGTCTCCCATGCCACCGAAGCCGCTTCCAGAGGTGTGTGAAACTCTGCAAATTAAACACGCCATCCGTCTCTGGAGGTAAGCTAAGGGGCCTTAATAATTACTCCATTATGCTATAACTATAATAAGGAACCCCCCAGATAGTATAGGTAATTATTTAAGCCCCTATCTTAAGCTAAGTACTCCCCCTTCCTTCAGAAGGTGACTGTTACCCCATCACTCTAAACCCTAAACTAAACCCTAAACCCTCCAGGCCTTGCCCCGCGTGCCGGCAATGAAGAGCAGCCGTGCCAGAAAAACCACCTCGAGAGTGAAGGAGACCGCGAAGAATGCCAAGGTCTCCATCTTGAAATTGTCCAAAAAAGGACCACTAAAACGCGAACGGGAGAGAGGTTTCACAGAATGCTGAGCCACCAGTTCGGCAGAGTTTGGTTTGGGTCAGATACAGGACTTAGGACTAGGGCTGCACTCCAACAGAACCCGGCCGTCCAGCAGCCACACTAAAACGCTCGCCGCTATCCAGCTCTGAGCCGAGAAACGGCCCGAAATACGCACTGCTAGGTTCAGGATCACGATCCCGGCAACGGTCATGATGATGATCATGACGATCATGATTATGATCATCTTCAACAAGACCATTATCACCATCATCGTCATCAGTTTCTCCATGCTCGCCGAAAGCTGCATCAGAACCATCATCCTCGTGATGTCGTCAACAGCATCAGCAACACTATCATAATCCTCGTCATACTCAGGCAGCTGCTCCTACAGTACTCCTCCTCTCGAGGCCAATATCAAACAGAGACAACCTTGGATCCCGATTGATAGCAATTACCAACCGCCAATTTCGGGTTTAGGGTTTAGGGTTAAGCCGGACTTTGTGGCAAAACGTTGCCATTGGCTCGATAATCGTGCTCAACAATCGGTAAGACCGGCGGCGGTACTGGCCGGTACGAGCTTACAGTCACTGAAGCATTCGTTAAGACACTGATCTCCATCACTATTGCTACAAGTAGTCTCATCATCTGCGGCGAATCAGACCTGCCGCACTTCTTTCTCCTCCGGAGCAGGGCAGACCGTCTGTACACGGCCCTGTGCGAAAGCCATGTACTGCATCCGAATGTATCGCCTTTAACAGGTCTACAGTAGGGCCTAGTTCAGGCAGTCGGGCTCAGGGTTTAGGGTTTAGTTTTCAGGCTACGGAAGAACCTCATACACGAAAAGGATGACGAGGGCGATGAAGAGCAGAAGCACCTGGATCGAGCATACCGCAAAATGTAATCAGGACCCCGTGCACAAAGCAACTTGATGATCGAAGAGTCCATGTCACTCAATGCTCCACGTGTTACCCCAACCGAAATCTGTTGAGCTCAGGCTCAACCACCATAAGCCACAGGAATTGGGCCTACTGGGTTTAGAATTAGGGCTTGATGGTTCCGTGCTTAAGAACCCAGACGAATGCTACAGACCACTTCCATCCTATGCTCAAAAACAAAGCCATCCTATGCAAAACAAGAAGACCCAAAACACTCCTCGTTTGGCATTGAAGATCAAGGTTGCTTTTGCATCTCCAACGCACACACCTAGACCTGGACCAGCAATCTCAAACCCTCGGCCAAAAAAAACAACACCTACACAATTGTATCATTGCTTGAAGCCCACATGCAGATAGACTACCGGGATAATGCGCATATTGCATGTAGATATATATATATATACACACAATATATATATATATATATATATATATAATACATATGCACACGCACACATGTGTCTACACGCCACATACACAGAAGTGCTCAGTCTTGCGAGGCCGGGCAGCAGAGATACCCAGCCAGCGATTTCGATCCAGGCTTTGGAAGCGAGTCAGCATCCTGGAGACGTCTTGAGCCCGTCGTCAGGGCCCCCTAAATCCTAAACCCCCGACCCCAAACACTAAGCCCTAAACCCCTAAGCCCTAAACCCCTAAACCCTAAACCCCTAAACCCTAAAACTCTGGGACTCCATGTGCAGGGCTCAAGGTTTCGCTTTTCCTGACGCTGGCTTTGCCAAGGGTCCTTTAGGTTGTGTTGGTTCAGCCTCGGGTTTAGGGTTTAGGGTTCAGCCTCGGGCCCCCGCAACCCGATTAGGGTTTAGGGTTTAGGGTTTAGGGTTTAGGGTTACTATACTAGACCCCCAAAAGTTGGAAACTGGATTAAGGACAACAAGTGCTGGGATTCCCTATACATTACTCTTAAGGATAGAGGCTATGGGCTTTCCAACTTTCAAGCTTCTACGATAAACCCAACAGTAAAGCGGATACACCTTCTCGTGCTTCTCTCCCTGTAGCATCCGGCAGTGCACATTTCGGCCGTCTTCTTGGGGGCAGGAGAATTCAGGAACCCCAATTCGGAAGACTCTGAACCCTTAAACTGTGGCGAAACAACAAGGAGAAACAATCTGAAAGCGTCGGTTCTGAGGCCGAACATCCTGTTTTCAGAGAAGTAGGGTTGATAATATGGGCCGCATCACATGCAACCAACCGTATCCTTGCAGAACCCGCCAGACGAGGTGAGTGTTCATCAAGATCTACACCCTTCACTGTACGAAACTTCAAAACGCCATGCAAACCCTAAACCCTGAAACCCTCAACCCTAGAACCCCTTAGAATAAAAACCGAACCCTAGACCTCGCCCCCTTCCCTGCACTGGGCTCAAGACGACCGCGCGCGCCCCAAGCGAGCGGAGGTGCGGTCGGTCGTCTGGCAGAAAGTGCAGAAACATATACTATAGTCTCCATTGTAGTTCCTTTTTTGGGTTTAACCAATTATATACTAAGGATTTTAAAGGCACCCCCAAAAAGGAACTACAATGAAGACTAGAGGTATAGAGCCGGGTTTAAGGTTGGGGATTCAGGGTGTAGGGTTTCTCCAAAACGGTCCCCTATCACTGTCTGGATAGGAAAAGCATTTCTGAAGGGCTCTAGCTGAGGGTTGCAAGCTTTGGGTGTAGGGTACAGGTGGAAGCTATGTACAACAAGATGATGTGCTGCATATGTAGCGTAGTGTAGCAGATATATGTATATATATATATATACATAGTTAGTACGGGGATATGATGCGCAGCTGGACTTCGCAGCGTGTGCGGATTAGGATTCATGTAGGGTTTCGGGCGATGTCTATAAATGTTTACCAAGTCGTAAACAGTAGTTCCAGTTGCTCGCAGAGTGTGCATTCGGTCTGTGGGGAATTCTCAAGCACATATTCAGTCGTCGTGATATTCCTACGGTTGGTATTATAAATCCTGCATTACCCATAATGAGGAAGATACCATATTTCCCATAGTGTAGGGTCCTTAAGCTAATGCAGGATTTATATCATCAACAGTAGGTACCCTGTGGCGAACCGCTGGAGGTTCATACTTCCTTACAGGTTGTCAGCTAGGCTTGCACAGAGGGCATTCGATGGGATTAACACGCTGCGCCCAATATTTCAAAACCGAAGATACGAGTAGGGCTTGGGCAGCTCTGAGAGAAACTGAGTTGAGGTTTCATGTTCTTCAATTCCCGTCTTCGGGGGGGGAACACCGGTGGCTCCAGGGGGGCCCTTCGGTTGCTTGCTGTATAACGGGCTCCGTAAACGGGGGCATACGGCCCCTAATAGTCGGTATCAAGGGTCTCATAACGGGTTTACGGTTTGGGGTCCAGTAGATGGAAGACGGAGGATCCAGCAGAAGCAAAACCAAACAACCACGCCAACGTTCTGCAGCTAGTGCTTAAGTACCCTGTCCAGGCTTGCAGCGGATCCAAGATGGGGGTTGTCGTTTCCCCACGCCCCCACGCTGCTCCTTCGAAGGTTGACTTCGGGGCTGAGCACCCTAGCCCAAAAAAAGTTAACCATTTGAATTATAGTAGGGTTATATAAGCCCCAAAAGGTTAAAGGTTACCTACTCAGCCCCTAAGTTGATATGTTTATTGATCATTCCATCCGAGACCCGGAAGCCGACGGCCTAAACAGACCCGGCAGAGCGCTCCTCATGCATCCGGCGAGGCTTCGCCGCTTTAACGATCGGATGTCAGACGCTGGAGACATCGGGTGAGTGTCAAGATTTGACAAGTTTCAGGCTTAAGGTTTGGGGCTTTAACCTCATTGGGTTTAGGGTTTAGTGTTTAGGGTTTTGGGAATATGTGTCAGCCTGAGAAGGGACTTGGCCATCGGGCAATGCGAGAGTAGCGTACAACAAAAGCCGGCTGAGGCTTTGCGGCTTCGTCTTCCCTCGACGCCCGCCGCCATGCCAGGGAGACTTCGGAATCGAGGGTTTAGGAGAAATCCGGGTATGTGGCGGTTTGCGTGTTATGGCGGCGGTGCCATGAACCACTACAGCATCTGCGGTAATGCAAAAGATTTGCTCCTGCCTCGTTCGCATTATCCAGCAAGCGATTTTGGAGGTTGATCTCGGTTCGGATCATCGTGCTCACCTTGACAGCTTGAGTACAGGAACGGAGAAATCTGCACTGCCTAGGCCAGGACACACGAGCGCAAGCAGAACACAACTTTGCAAATGCACGGGCACATGCACATGCAGACAAGCATGCAGACATGCCAACATGTTTGAACCCCAAACCCTAAACCATTTACGCATGAGGAAAAGACGGAGGAACGGACGGCCCCAAACAAGGTTAACCTTTTGAATTATAGCAGGGTTATATAAGTTATATGGGGGTTTCCGAAAAAAGGGGGCCCTAATATAGTACCCTATATACTAGGATCCTTCTTATAAGGACCCCAAAGTAAGGTACCCCTAATTTTCGGAAGCTCCCATATAAGCCCCAAAAGGTTAAAGGTTACCTACTTAGCCCCTAAG